TGGGGGCAATATGCTGACTCTGTAAACTGCTTAGAGAGGGCTGAAAGCCCTATGAAGCGGTATATAAGTCTAACTGCTATTGCTATTGTTGGAAATAGTTTCATAATTTCTCTGGCTTTTCCAGTCAATAACGTCCTATCGTTATCAACAGCACAGAACTGTTATAATTTGGAAGGCAGTAGCAAAACATAATAAACTAAATTGCTATAATACAGAAACAAGTTGCAAAAAAATATCTTTAGTGAGGTAATAGTATCATTTAATAGTTAACCAATATTCATCTCCAAAATATTTTTTTGAATAGAAAATGCAAATTAAGTTTTTCAAAGGCACTTGTTCATTTAAATCAACAAAGATGTATATCTTGTATTAAATAATATTGAAGTGGGCTGTAAACACCAAATTTGAGATTTGGAGTTAATCCCCATAATTTAGCAAATATTCAAGCTATGTTTCTGCACACATTTGCCTAGTTGTCTCACTGTATTCAATGAAATATATTTTTAAATAGATTTGTATAGGACTGTGTTATAAGTTACTGTTATTTTCATTAATGCCACACATTATTCAATAATATTAAGGTTTGTTTTATTGCCTAATAAGTCACTTGCTTAGATGTATTCAAAGTTACTGTATCCACCTTTCCAAAATATCTGGAAATCTAACCACACAGGAACTACAGAATGTTCTGAATGCTGAAAGTGGAAGTACTTAAAAATTAACAAATTAAGCCAAAATCAGTAGATTTGGCATAAGGGTAGGTGACACCCACTTCTCTTAGAACAATTTCTAAATATTACTCTAAAATAACTTTCAAGTTGACTGAGATGTACAATTTGAAATCAAAAGATTCCTGAAAATTTAAAATATACATATTCTGATTACAAGAAATTCAGTCTAAAAATCATGTAAGAATCAACCAAAGGTAAAATATAGTTCACCTTAAGTGTAAAGAGAACCATGGTGGAGTAGTGGTAAGAGTGCAGTATAATTTCAAGCTAATTCTGCTAACTGCCAACAGTTCGAGTCTCACTGGCTCAAGGTTGACTCAGCCTTCCATCCTTCCGAGCTTAGTAAAATGAGGACCCAGATTGTTGGGGACAATATGCTGACTCCATAAACCACTTAGAGGGGGTTGTAAATCACTGTAAAGTGGTATATAAGTCTAAGTGGTTTTGCTAAAGTGGGGTACAAGACTTAACTTCACTCACACATCACAATACCACTTAGACTCATGTATCACTTCACAGTGCTTTATAGCCTTCTCTGAGCAATTTACAGAGTCAGCATATTGCCCCCAACAATCTGGTCCTCATTTTACCAACATTGGAAGGATGGAAGGCTGAATCAACCTTGAGCCAATGAGACTCAAACTGCAAAACTGCTGGCAGCTGGCAGTCAGAAATAGCCTGCATTACTACATTCTAACCACAGCGCCACCAGATGAGGTTTGCACTGAGTTTAACAAAAGAAAAGATCACTGTATCAGAATGAATACCTTATTATGTATTCATTGATTTACTTGTACACTATAGTCTCTAGACACTACCTGTAAAAAATATTCCATGCTAGAAATTATTAGAAAAGGTACTGAAAATAAAACTGTCAGCTGTGCAATATTGTTAAAGAAATCCATGGGATATCTACATCTGGAATACATGTACACAGTTCTGTTTACTTGGAGATGTTTAGCTATGAACAAAAATGACTAGGAAATATATCTCTCTAACAAAGAAATATCACATGATGAATGGCATGTAAAACATGGATATGTTTTACCTATATCCCCAAGTCAAAATGCTAGGACAGCTGACCTTTTCTCTTGGGATTTACAGAGAATGTCAAGTGATTCTACTAATGCCATTTAGAAAAAGTCATGCATCTATTGGGTTTGAATGCTTGCAATGTATCATTTTTAGAAACGGGAATTAAAGCTGTTCTAAACCACCTTGAACTCCTGGGAGAAAGGTAGAATATATGTCCAACAACCAAGGATTCAAGTTTCAGAACTTCAATTCCTGAAATCTCCAGACTCAGGGTGATACTAAAGAGAGGACAACTATACAAATAATGAAAACTGATCTGATGCAAATATCTTATATTACCTTTGCTACTGCAGTGAACAATTGCAACACCTGTGACAACACTATGTTCTTTGCCACTTAACCTATTAAAAAGAATAGAAAATTAGTCGGCCATCATTTTGATAAAATGCGGTAATGCATTCTCACATATTATGGTATAAGGCTTCTCTCTTTCTCTCTCTACATACATACATACATACATACATACATACATACATACATACAGATTTATGTAAATATGTATGAATAATGTCATTGTGTAATACATGGGACAACCCAATATTTGCATATAGGCCTAAAGATATGTACCCATGTAGTATGGCTGTATTGCTATTATCCTTCTCACTTCTCATCTTCTCATTTCTTATCTTTTCTCATCTTCTCATCTTATCTATTACCTTCTCCTATTGCTACCTTATGATTTATCATTTGTTGTTTATATCTTATGATTCATGATTGTAGCATGATTTATGATCTATGACCTATCACTTATTGTTTGTAAATACACAGAGAATCTATGCACTGGAGATAAATTCATTTTGTGTCCAATCTTATTTGGCATCCATCCATCCATGTAGACTGCTAAACTATGGTCTAAATCAGTGTTTTCAATCTTGCAATTTAAAATGTGTGGACTTCAACTCCCAAGCATGCCGGCTGGGGAATTTTAGGACCTGAATTCCACACGTGTTAATATTGCTGACATTGAGAAATGCTAAGTAAGGACAGGTTTTTTTCAGACTAATGAACAGTTACAAAAAAAAAGGATTCAACTCTTGTATAATAGCATAAAGTCTTTCAAATCCAACACAGTTCTGTTAATAATACATTGAATATCTAAAATTAAAATTAAAATGTGTAAAAACAAATAGAAATGCATTAGTAAAATATGCTGCATAAGAGATTAGAAATCAAAGCCTAGTGTGTTATCCTACACTGTTTAGATTTGTCTCATACTAATATTATTTAACAAAAAAATGGGGGGTTTTTGTATCTATTTAAGGCTAATGTAAAAATAATGCATTGCAAATGGTCAGGCCTATATAAAAGCATTATTTGCTTTTTTATTAATTTAAAGCATATACCTGGAAAGCATCTTATAGGCATCCTGCTTGTCCACTGGTTTTTCCAAAATTTGTTTTTCTATAGTCTGAAATGGAAAAGTATACATATTACTATGTACATCTCATTCAGCTAAAAATATGAAATTATCCAGAAATAAGAGTTTCACAATTTGCAGCCATTAGGTTCTAAATAAAGTTTGGAATAGTGTGCCTATACTTTCTATGTAGAAATAAATTATGTATCCAGTACTTGTTACAAAGAAGATACAATGTGCATTTTGAGTAGTTAATTGTGGGTAAATATCTCTTAGGTGTATCAAAATAATTTCCTTTGCAGCCATAGCTCAAATAATACATAATATATATATTTAAACATTTTTCCTTTAGTTTTATGGTGCCTTTAAAATGTATGCTGATTAATAGTTCTTCTTACAATTGTATTTATCTATACAACTGAATAATGCTTTATCTCACACTTGACAGAAATTATCTATTAATTAAAAATCCACTTTCTGCATGTGTTTTGCAAGCAGAACAAATACTTTTGCCTTTCTACAGAGACATTTGCCTTTCTACAAAGATATGAACACCAAAATTAAAATAGTCATAACCCAAATACTCAACCAAATCATATAAAAGTGAATAAAATGAAACATGTTAAGAAAAGCCATAGAAATACTATTAAGGATATAGGAATCAATCTGACACCAAGTTGAACTATTGGTCCACATATTATTGACATTCATTAGCAGCAGCAACAAAAAAAGGGGGGGTTACCCCATTCTGACTTGGCCTTTTGCCAACACATATGTGTTTATTCTTTTTGATAAAGTGGCTCTCTTTAGGACAAAGTGCCACAGCACAACTTTAAAAAGTTTGTGGTGCTGGAATTTTCTGAATGAAAACATAATGAAAAAATCAAAGAACACACTGATTTAATCACATTTTGGATAGCTATCATAATATCTCTTCTAGTATATATTGTATATATAGTACTGTGCAAAAGTTGTAGGCAGGTGTGAAAAAATGCTGTAAACAAAGAATGCTTTCAGACATATAAATAATTGTTTATTTTTGTCACTTTTCAAAATGCAAAGTGAGCGAACAAAAGAAAAATATAAATCAAATCAATATTTGGTGTGACCATCCTTTGCCTTCAAACCAGCATCAATTCTCATAGGTACACTTGTTCAAAGTCAGGGATTTTGCAGGATTATAGTCAGGTGTATGATCAACCAATTATACCAAACAGGTGCTAATGATCATCAATGTCACACGTAGGTTGAAACCCAGTCATGAACTGAAACAGAAACAGCTGTGTAGGAGGCTTAAAACTGGGCGAGGAACAGCCAGACTCTGCTACCAAAGTAAGGTTGTGAAAGATAGTTTCATGTCATGGCAAGATTGAGCACAGCAACAAGACACAAGTAGTTATACTGCATCAATAAGGTCTCTCCCAGACAAAGATTTCAAAGCAGACTGGGGTTTCAAGATGTGCTGTTAAAACTCTTTTGAAGAAGCACAAAGAAAGAGGCAACGTTGAAGATCATAGACGCAGTGGTTGGCCAAGGAAACTTAGTGCAGCAGATGAAAGACACATCAAGCTTATTACCCTTCAAAATCAGATGTCCAGCAGTTCCATCAGCTCAGAACTGGCAGAAACCAGTGGGACCCAGGTACACCCATCTACTGTCCGGAGAAGTCTGGCCAGAAGTAGTCTTCATGGAAGAGTTGCAGCCAAAAAGCCATACCTCCGATGTGGGAACAAGGCCAAGCGACTAAAGTATGCACGAAAACATAGGAACTGGCGTGCAGAAAAATGGCAGCAGGTGCTCTGGACTGATGAGTCAAAATTTGAAATATTTGGCTGTAGCAGAAGGCAGTTTGTTTGTTGAAGGGCTGGAGAGCGGTACAATAATGAGTGTCTGCAGGCAACAGTGAATCATGGTGGAGGTTCCTTGAACGTTTGGGGCTGCATTTCTGCAAATGGAGTTGGAGATTTGGTCAGGATTAATGGTGTTCTCAATGCTGAGAAATACAGGCAGGTACTTATCCATCATGCAATACCATCAGGGAGGCGTATGATTGGCCCCAAATTTATTCTGCAGCAGGACAATGACCCCAAGCATGCAGCCAAAGTCATTAAGAACTATCTTCAGCGTAAAGAAGAACAAGAAGCACTGGAAGTGATGGCATGGCTCCCACAGAGCCCTGATCTCAACATCATCGAGTGTGTCTGGGATTACATGAAGAGACAGAAGGATATGAGAAAGCCTACATCCACAGAAGATCTGTGGTTAGTTCTCCAAGATGTTTGGAACAACCTACTAGCCGAGTTCCTTCAAAAACTGTGTGCAAGTGTACCTAGAAGAATTGCTGCTGTTTTGAAGGCAAAGGGTGGTCACACCAAATACTGATTTGATTTAGATTTTTCTTTTGTTCGCTCACTTTGCATTTTGAAAATTGACAAAATAAACACTCATTATTTATATTTCTGAAAGCATTCTTTGTTTTACAGCATTTTTTCAGACCTGCCTACAACGTTTGCACAGTACTGTATATGTCCCTCATTATAAACAACGGTTCATTTCAACGCAAATGAATGACATAAAAGATAATAAGGAAAGTGTAAACATTTTTTTCTCAGAAGTATAGTATGGTATAAAAACTATTTCCAAGGAAAGTGAAAAACCACATAAGAAAAAGACTTAAGTTCAATAGAACATAAAACATTTATTTCACAAAACAGGAAACTGCACTGTTTAACCTTTCTTCCATCAGGAGAATGAAAAGCTGATGAGAAGCGTTCTTTCAATTTGTCTAAACTGATTTTCAAAAACAGTTGCCTTATCACACTTCCAGCATCTTTCATCCTCAGACTGTGTTTATGTAAAATGATTACTCATTTCCCATACTAAACTAACCCCATTATAATAGAATTAAAAATACCAATATTGAATAGACAAAAATGATGTTTTAAATATCTATTATGTGTGTGGATCCAGGAATACAATAGATTTACACAACTACTGTACTACTAACCTAAAAGTTGTCAACATACATATACTCACCACTATAGTGTCTGCTCCAATAACAATATCTGGTGTTTGAAGATGTTTCTGAAAGAAAAGATAAATAAAACATAAAAAGTCTGTGTATTTTATTAAATTTTCTCCAACATACCAATGCTGCTATAAACTTGAATGTTAACAGATAACAAATTAAGGAGAAAAAGCAACCCTAATTCAATAAAAACAATCTTGATTTCATCCAATGATTAACAGAAGATCAAATGTGAGAGGGTGGATACTTGTAAGCTGGCCAGGCATTCAATTGGTGTTTGCTGGATGGTGGAAAGCAGGGGGAGAAAATGAACTAGCTGATTTTCTCTATTTTAGAATTCTGGGTGGCATATATTTTATTCTGAAGTCCTTTCAGAAGAAATATGGGCATACAGAAATCTTTGTCTCACACTATTACAATTGAAGGTATCCACTGAAACACTAGATGGAGAGATACATGTAGTGAATAAGGTAAAGGTTCCCCTCGCACCTATGTGCTAGTCGTTCCCAACTCTAGGGGGCGGTGCTCACCTCCATTTCAAAGCCAAAGAGCTGCACTGTCCAAAGATGTCTCCGTGGTCATGTGGCCGGCATGACTAAACTCCACGGAATGCTGTTACCTTCCCACCAAAGGTGGTTCCTATTTTTCTACTTGCATTTTTTATGTGCTTTCAAATTGCTAGCTGGCAGAAGCTGGGGCAAGTAACGGGAGCTCACTCCATTACACAGCGCTAGGGATTCGAAATGCCGAACTGCTGACCTTTCTTATCAACAAGCTCAGCGTCTTAGGCACTGAGCCACCACATCCCTCAGTGAATAAGGAGAACGTCCTTATTATGCAATTTTCTGCCATCTGATATAGTGGTGACTACTGTTTGAACTATTTAAAAGAGTATTACATTAATTCATGAATGATAGGTCTAAGACTAAACATTAATCCAGAAACAAAGATAAAGTAGGCTTTAATCCTCTTATCATAATTCAGACATTTCTGAATTAATCTGGTGAGCCACTCCATGACAATGAACATTGGGTATTGAATGTTGGTTTGGCCTCATCCTGGCTCAATATCTTAAACTCTTCCATGTATTTGAGCTCATTTTTTTCTGCTCCAAGTTGAATGTTTTATCCACAGGTTCTATGTTTTACGTTTAACAGGCTGCCAAATATACATTTTGCACTAATGACAAATAGTGATGGTGAAGAATAGCCTCCTTGGCTATTCAATTTTCCTATGGGACATGTTAAGTCAGGGGTATTAAACTCAAGCTTCATGGGCCGGATTCAACCCATGGGGTGCTTAGATCTGGCCATGGGGCTGGCCTGTAAACAGCAAAGGACCAGCCCGCAGTGCCTTTGCCAGCAGAAACAGAGCTCGGGGGGACCCCACATGCCCCCCTCCACCCCATGATGGCCTCCTGCAGCCCTCTGCAGTGAAAATAGAGCTCAGGAAGCCACACTCTCTGGCAGAGGGCTATCAAAACAAACTAAAAAAACCAAAAGAGAAATGCAAGAAGGGGCAGGAAAGGAGAAAGACAAAGAGGAAAAAAAAAGAAAGATGGGAAGAAAGAAGGAAAAATAAGGAAAGAGAAGGAAGGAAATAATGAGAGTGAGGGAGAGTCTGATGGAAGTCCTGCCTTAGCACTTGGCCACCACAGGTGTCACCAACATGTGTTCTGTGTCACGCCCACCATGTCCACCCACACAAACACCCCAGCCCTCTGAGGTCAGTTACAACCCTGATGTGGTCCTCAATAAAATTGAGTTTGACACTCCTGTGTTAAGTGGATGATAAACCCATTATTCCACCCATCCTTATATCAACCATTTGCTTTCTACTAAAGGGGGTAGCATTTTTCCTGTTTCCTGAGGAATATAAGAATGAATATATCCCTTACTGGGATTAGAACCTGTGCTGTATTGCATCTTAGGCAGATGTGTTAACCACTAAGCCACAAGGTTCT